AGGTTTATAAAAATGAAATGAAATAAAAAAAATACATTTTATTTATTACATTACTTTCAAGCACTGACAAAAAAAATACGCTAAAGTTTAAGAACCATGCAAATGACAAGTGAAGAGAACAGAAAGAAGAGAGAAATGGGGAAATGGCAGCCCGCAGGTGCTTTGTATCTTTCTATCACATTTCTGTTTCAAAAAGGACCCTCTCCTAGTCGTTCGCTTGCCTCTTTCTTTATCCCTTTCTTCCCCCTTACTCTTTTCCTTTAAAACACTGAAACCCGAGGCATTGCATGGAAATCAAGCATCGTCACTCGTTCGTTTTCTTTTTAAAAAAAAGTGCCCACTTTGCTTACTAAATGCCTAAAAACTTTTGTCAAAAAAAAAGCCATAAAAATAGCATTTAATTTTATGATTGTAAATGGCAAACGTTTGCCCAATTGGCCATAAGCCTTTGTTCAATTAGCCCTGGCCTTTGTCCAATTGGTCCTGGTCAATTGATCTTTGTCCAATTGGCCCTGGTCAATTGATCTTTGTCCAATTGGTCCTGGTCAATTGATCTTTGTCCAATTGGCCCTGGTCAATTGCCCTTTGTCCAATTAGCCCTGGTCAATTGCCCTTTGTCCAATTAGCCCTGGTCAATTGCCCTTTGTCCAATTGACCATAAGCCCTTTGTTTTGTCAATTTGTAAACAGAGATCAATTTTAAAAGTTTACAAAAACTCAAGAAAGAAAGATCGAAAAATACGAGTATATGACCTATATTGAAATAGTGAGATTTCGAGCAAGCCTAATGCACGATTTGCGGTCGAGTGAATGAATAGGGTTGTGAGGGAAAGAGGGGTTGCTTCTTGAGAAGAATTGGAAAAGAAAAGAGATTGAGTATATGGAGAATGAGGATGAGGAAGAGGCTGAAGGGATGTGGGGCAACAAGCATAATAGGCTCAGCTATTGGCGAGCAACCGTGCTCACCAACTTGACAATACGGAAGAGATTTCTAAAGCTTTTAAATAGTTCTTTAAAGATATTAAAGATTCAAAACGAGTCTTGCGATTCACAAACGATGAAGTACTTTACGGATTTTACTTCGATTTACTTTAGATTTACTTTACTTTAGATTTAGTTTAGATTTACTTTACTTTTGATTTACTTTAGATTTACTTTAGATTTTACTTTACTTTAGATTTACTATAGATTTACTTTACTTTAGATTTACTTTACTTTCGATTTAATTTAGATTTACTTTACTTTAGATTTACTTTACTTTCGATTTACTTTAGTTTTTACTTTACTTTAGATTTACTTTACTTTCGATTTACTTTAGATTTACTTTACTTTAGATCTACTATAGACTTTATTTTACTTTAGATTTACTTTAGATTTTACTTTACTTTCCGATTTACTTTCGATTTTTCTTTACTTTACTTCAGCTCCGTAAATCTTCTCTTCAACCAATAAAAACGAACATAAAAAACCTCTAGAAGAAATCTGTAAATAATTGTGTTATTTCTAAAATAACATGAAATTCTTTATAACAAAATTTGGCTTAAATGCTTTGTAAAAAGAGTAATTCTTTGGTGGATTTGAAGAAGGATCTTGAAAAGTTCAAGTGAGCCTCGGTCACTCACTCGGGAAAAGAGATTTGAACTGACTTTGTGAGCAAATTACCCAAGAGACTCAAGAAATCTTTTCTCCGCACAAAACAAGTTTCCGGCTTTCTTGAGATGAGGAGAAAGTTGAAATATTTAGTTCATTCAATTTTGAATATCTTGAGTGCTTAGATGAATCTAAGCTATAGATCAAGACAAAAACTTTTCAAATACCAATGGTAATTCGATGATCAATGATGATATTATGGATCATCACTGCTCGAGTACACAATGAGAATCTGGCCTTGAGTTGCCCAAAAAGTCGCCCCTTTCTCTCTCTCTAATCCAAACTCTTTTCCCTCCATTTCTTTAACGATTTCGGTAAAAAAGTTCTCCTCATTTCTCTAGAAATTTATGATTTAAGAGAGTTAAACATGTGCTTCTTGATGCGTTTTAAAATACTCCTGTATCTGACTCTGATATCTGATTTTTATTCAGTCTATTAAGCTGTTCAAAGATTAAAGATTTTTACGAAAAACACGTTTTCACTCTCGAACTTGCTTCGTTCCTTTTTGTACTTCCGTACTTCAAATTTGGGTTTACTTTTGAAGCGTTCAAAAAAAAAAAAAAAACAATTCATCAATTAACCTATGACTTCCCCTAAATAAAAAGTGTTTTTTGTTCAATTTCCCATCTTTTTAAGTCAATTTGGGTTTACTTTTAAGCAAATTCGAACATGAAAACCGTGTTTTTCGATCTATAAAAATTAAGGGACTTAAGAGAGTTAAACAAGCTCAAACAAGCACATCCAGCTTAGCCGTTTACGGGTTTACCAAACGGGTTTTCTCTTAAAGATTACTAAAGTAATCCTTTTGCTCATTAAGAAAAAAGAGGATCAAGGATAAGCCAGAGAAAAGTTCCAGAGTGGTCATCTACACGAGAATTGGATATCGATAACAACATTGATTGATTCAAATCTCTTAATGAGATATTTTTGTGCTTGGAAGATTGCTAAATCTCTCCAGAACAAAATTGGTGAATCCTCGGTTGAGGCTGAGCAACTTAACATTAATTATCAGATTGTCATCCAGCTTAGCCGTTTACCAAACGGGTTTTCTCTTAAAGATTACTAAAGTAATCCTTTTGCTCATTAAGAAAAAGAGGATCAAGGATAAGCCAGAGAAAAGTTCCAGAATAAAAACGAAAACAAAAAAAAAATGATTACAAGGGTTTAAAAACTAATTTTAAAATTTCATTTCGTAGTTTCGGCATCCAAAAGAACGGTCAAAAAAGATAAGCATTGGGGAAACGGAAACAAAATTTTTGAAAAATGATCTCATTGGGCTGAAAAATAGACTGAGATATAGTTTTTGACGGTGAGAGAAAAAAAAAGATAAAAAGTTCAGAACTCAAGAGAATCAAAAGCTCAATGAAACGAAATCCTAAATTAGAGTATGCCGGGGTAAAAGATCTCATAACGATTTATCTACTAGTTAAATTGATTTAGTTAGTAGTTAGTAGATAGTTTAATATTTTGATTTTTATCCTTTTATCGAGAAGGAGCTTTTTAGCATGAATCATCGTCAAAAATAATCAAAATAATCAAAAATAGTCAAAATTCTGCTCATTTATCAATCAGACAATTCAAATGCTTGTAAATTTTGTAAAACAAAAAGCCTAATAGAGAAAATAGAAAGAAAATAGAGTTGCTTCTGAGCTTCTGAGCACAAAGTACATTTACATCTAGTCTAGATTGATGTAAAGCCTTAAAAAACAAAAGATGATTAAATCTACTTTCTTCTTATCAAATCAAATCTTTAAACATCTGTAAACACACCTTTTCTGGTGCACTAACACTGTGAAGAACATCATAAAACATCTCAAAACTCAAAACTAGAACTATTTATCATTTATCAACATTCAATTTGCTGATCTAGAGCATCAATTCTCTTTGTTGTTGACAAAGGAATGCTTCAAAAGAAAAACTGTGTTCAATGACTCTCATCCAACGACAGCTACCGAGCTACCGATTCAAAAACTCTCATCCAACGACAGCTACCGATCGAAATGTAATCCATATGTCTACAGAAAAATGCCAAATGCAATTCGGGCAATTTGACAACTGGCTGCTGGGCTCAAGACTTTGAACAAGATCATGAAGTTCGTCTACATGTAAACGAGAATTGGATATCGATAACAACATTGATTGATTCAAATCTCTTAATGAGATATTTTTGTGCTTGGAAGATTGCTAAATGCTTGGAAGATTGCTAAATCTCTCGAGAACAAAATTGGTGAACCCTCGGTTGAGATTAGCAACTTGACATTAATTATCAGATTAAAAACAAGTAAAACTTGAGGTTAAAAAAGCAGAAAACAATTCCCCAGAAATATGCTTAGCAAAGTAAAGAATTTTAAAGAGATTTAATAGCATTTAGATAGCATTTTTTTTTATTTTTATTATACTTTAGCTAGTTTAAAGATTGGGAAACTGAGAGTTAGAGCTTTAAGGTTTAATAAAGCTATAAAGCTAAGCTGAGAGCTAAAGCTTTAAGGTTTAATAAAGCTATAAAGCTAAGCTGAGAGCTAAAGCTTTAAGGTTTAATAAAGCTATAAAGCTAAGCTGAGAGCTAAAGCTTTAAGGTTTAATAAAGCTATAAAGCTAAGCTGAGAGTTAGAGCTTTAAGGTTTAATAAAGCTATAAAGCTAAGCTGAGAGCTAGAGCTTTAAGGTTTAATAAAGCTTTTAAAATATCTAGAAATGATAAGTTTATAGAAAAAAAATGGTTTATAAAGCTTTTAGAGTAATGAAGTTCAGAATAAATGAAAGAATCGAAAGTAAATGAGGAGAGAGGCTCACAAATTGGGGATGGAGAAGAGAGTGGCTTAAAGAGGGATTCGAAATCGGTTCAAGAATATGAATATGGATATGTTGGCGATGTGTGTGTGGATAAAAAGAGAAAGTTTTCTAGTGACGAGCCTAAGCAAGAGTCAAAAGGCAAACCGCCTAAATGTGGATTTAAAAAAAGAGGAGGAGTGTCTTGTGGGTAATGTGTGTCGTTTTTCCTCTCCTCCCCACGGTGATCCCTTTGAACAGCTCTCTAAAACCCGAAAAAAAAAGGAAATCACAAATTTTAACATCGACATAAAACTCTGATTTGCTTTTTTTCTCCCAAAGCCAACACTTTTTCCGTGATTTGTGAGTTTTCTTTTGAAATCTCATCAATTAAATAACTTTTTTTTAAAAGATTTTCTTCAACTTTAAGCATTTTCTTCAACTTTAAGATATAAAAAAAATATTTATCAATAGAATTTATGATAAAATGTTTTAGCAGAAGCAGAAGAAATATTTTAGCAGTTAGCAGCGTTTGTTTACATTTCCATTTTGTTATTTGTTATTTTGTTGAATTGCTTTATCAGTGGTGATGGTTATCTGAAAAATGATCAAGGGTTTAGTTTCCTTTTTTTAGCAAACCGTGATGACCGTGTTTTATATCGTGAAAGAATTGTCCGACAGCGTTGTGATGATGGTGTGAATCGTGATGGATCTGAAGAAATGATTGATAACAATTGAAACAATTGAAACAATTGAACCGAAAGAGATTTGAACCCTGTTCCCCTCATTCAGTGTCAACAATCTCTTATCCACTAAACCCATTGCGATGACTATTGATTGAAAAAGAACGGGGGAAAAAACTTTTCTTTCTGAATCATGGCTGTGATAAAGGGGGGTGAGGAAATGAAAAATATTGTAAAAGGTTGTAAACAAGGAAAGTTGAAATGGTGAAGCTTTCTCACTGGTTCATGATGGCCAGTTGTGTGCACGACGATAGGCGCTGGTTGCATCACTGGCATCACTGGTTGAACAGCTGGAAATCATTTGTAGAAATTTTGACGAACGACTATTGAGATCTCTTGGGAAATGTGTAAACATAGGAAAGGGCTTCTTGCTAGCGATAGACTGATCGAAATGATCTAGACTATTGTAGATTGATCTAGACTACTGTAGATTGACCTAGACTACTGTAGATTGACTTAGACTACTGTAGATTGATCTAGACTACTGTAGATAGATACTACTGTAGACGAAATGATCTAGACTACTAGACTAATGATCTAGACTACTGTAGATTGATCTAGACTAGTGTCGATTGACTTAGACTACTGTAGATAGATACTACTGTAGATGAAATAATCTAGAGTACTGTAGATCTTCTACCTGGATAAGCCTGATAGGCTGGCACTGTATGCTGATCATAGTGATGATGATCATCGTGATGGTGGTGGTGATGATCGTGATGATGGGACATATTGAAAGGAACGGCTTTGACTAAAACACAAATCTCAGAGATGTAAGTAAGTACAACAGAAAGCACAAATTGAAATTGATTTCACACCACACAAAAACTCGTACGCAAAGTATAAAAAGTTGAAACTAAACTTTTACAGAAAGCTTTTAGCTGAAATCTCTTCAAAAAACGAAAGCTCTGAAAAACTTTTTGAGGGTAAAATATGGTCACTCAAAGGGTTTATATGTGCTTGTGTTTTGCGTGTGTGGCGCGTGTGTGAAAGAAAGCTGAGCGCCTCCCATAAAATTCAGCCATATCTATCGAATTGAATACCTTTCGTCTGCCCTTCCACCCGCATTTTGACTCATCTCTACACAAACATCCTTTCTTCACACAAACACTCATCATCGATCTTGAGAAAAGTTAACCTTTTAAATAAATACTTTTCAATCATTTTTGTGAAAGATGAAAGTATGAAAAAAGCCTCAATTATAAAGTGTATGAGTACTTACTAGGGAGAAGCATGAATTCACCGCATTCTTTTAAAACAAGATCCACACCATCTTGTAGAGAATTTCACGGGGAATCCGATGCACCTTTTAGGTTTTGCCCTCGAGACATTTAACGCAATATATTTAGCAAAAACGCTTTTGGTATGTCGATTTGGTATGTCGATTTGAGGCGTCCCTTGGTGGAGAATTTTTCCCGGAACTTTTCCCGGAGAACTTTTTACCGAAATCGTTAAAGAAATGGAAGGAAAAGAGTTTGGATTAGAGAGAGAAATTTTTGCGTTTTTTGGGCAACTCAAGGCCAGATTCTCATTGTGTAATCGAGCAGTAATGATCCTTAATATCATCATTGATCATCGAATTACCGTATTTTCTCTAATAGTAGCGCACCCCAGCGAGCCGAGTTGGTGACTATTTTACATTTTCCAAGCTTTTGCAGAAGCTCAACACTCAAATCCCCCCACTAGATCTCATCGTCAGCTACATTTTCCGAACCCACATCGATAGGTTCTGATAAGCGGTTCTCGAGATTTCGAGCAATTTAGGCAAAGCTAAGGGTACACTAGAAAATACAATAAGCATCTGGCTGGCTTTGGAAAAATCCTACTTATCAACGTTCTCGCAACAAGTAATCAGTGTAAGGGATAAATGTCTGTCTCTCGAATAACTGGTCATGGTCTCACACATTTTAGCTTAATATTTTAGCTCAAAGCAAGCTAAAAACTTAAAAAGATTTCGAAAATCCCGTATACCTCTAATAGTAGCGCACCCCGGCGAGCCGTGTTGGTAACTATTTTACGGTTTCCAAGCTTTTGCAGAAGCTCAACACTCTAATCCCCCCACTAGATCTCATCGTCAGCTCCATTTTCCGACCCCACATCGATAGGTTCTGATAAGCGGTTGTCGAGATTTCGAGGAATTTAGGCAAAGCCTAGGGTGCACTATTATTAGAGAAAATACGGTATTTAAAAAGTTTTTGTCTTGATCTATAGCTTAGATTCATCTAAGCACTCAAGATATTCAAAATTGAATCACTTGTAACGCAAAGTATTTAGCAAAAACGCTTTTGGTATGTTTATTTGAGGTGTCCACTCGCCACACTCGCCTAAAAAGTCCCTTGGTGGTGTAGTGAACAAAAGGCTTGTGTCAAGGGTGAGCTGCGTACTTTTTTTCCTTGATTTCAATTCCTTTTACAGCTAAATCTTTTGCTTTTTGTTTATTTAAGTAGTTAGAATACTTGACTTACTATTAGAGTAATATGACCCGGATTTCAAGAAAATTTCCAATACTTTTGGAGTTCGGATTTGAAAGAAACCCTTATCTTGAGCTTGATTTCAGAAAACTCGCCTTCATTGAAGTTATTTAAGTGAAGAGAGTCTGTCGGTTTATGAAGAGAAATCGAAGAAAGTCTTATCACTAAAAAATTCTCAAAAGGGTGGGGCACGATTTCTTTTCTTTTCATTTCCGAGGAGTCTCTGAAACGAACGAGAGATTCTTTTATAATCCATTTTCAATTTTTCAATTTTCATATATTCATGGCTTTAGGTGATGCACCTGACGCTAGCTTTATTGGTGATTAGCATCGGTATAGCTGGTTTGTTTTTTTATTATAATTAATATCGATAAGTCATTTATTAATCATAAATCAATTTTTCTACTTACAAAATTATTTATAGAAGAACTGTTGACACAGATTTTTATTCACATTTTAATTTAGAAGGTCAGAAGGCTTCTTGCGAGAATGGTGGTTTTCTGATAAATGATACGGAATGCAATTGTCCTTCATTTTGGACCGGGAAACAATGTGAACAAAGATTATGCATAAATGGAGGATACGCCACCAGCGATAAATATTGCGTTTGTCCACCCGGCTATAAAGGGATCGCCTGCGAAGCTGGTTGGTCTCAGGTTGAAAGCTCAGCTTGCTCAAGCTCAGCTTGCTTAAGCTCAAGCTCAGCTTGCTTAAGCTCAAGCTCAGCTTGCTTAAGCTCAAGCTCAGCTTGCTTAAGCTCAAGCTCAGCTTTCTTAAGCTCAAGCTCAGCTTGCTTAAGCTCAAGCTCAGCTTGCTTAAGCTCAAGCTCAGCTTGCTTAAGCTCAAGCTCAGCTTGCTTAAGCTCAAGCTCAGCTTGCTTAAGCTCAAGCTCAGCTTGCTTAAGCTCAAGCTCAGCTTGCTTAAGCTCAAGCTCAGCTTGCTTAAGCTCAGCTTGCTTTCTACAAAAAATGTTCTTATAAAAGAACCGATGTCGATCTTCTTATTCATCTTATTATTCATTCTTTAAATTATTTGAAATCATCAAGATAAAAAGCAAGTGCAAAGCTTAAAACAAAGCATTCAGCCCTGAATTTCATTCAGCTTTGAATTTCATTCAGCTCTCGCCGCTCCATCGCCCAGTTCAACTTTCGAGCTGCAAGACTCGTTTAATCTCATCATTTTCAACTCGTTCACCGATTATTGGGGAATGAAATCAATCAACAAAATAATTGTAGAATTCTTTGTGAAAACATAAAAACAAATTATTTCAGGGATCAATTCAAACAGTGCTCAGTGGTTCGAAAGATTTTCAAAGTTACAACTACGTCGAGAATTATATTCCTCGTTAGTTACTTTAAAAAAAGCTTTGCTTTATTTTTTAAAGTACTAAATAGTAAAGCTACTATTTAGTACTTTAGAAAATAAAGCAAAGCTATGTTAATATTTAGCTGATGATTATGCCTTGCTTGTTCACAAGAATGACACCCCATTTGAGAGGAATAATCTCATTCCTGCAATCAATAGTAACCAGAATTTGATCGACTATTTAAATAAGGTAAATATCATTCGAATTTCTTTTTGTTTTGTTCTCTATGATCTATAAGCTTAGCTGTTTATTAGTTATTTAAAATATTTAACCACGATAATTGACGGTGAGGTTGGGGTAAAGTGGGACACTGACTGAGTGAGTGAAAAGGGAAAGAAGAAAGAGGCTTTCCCGAATAATTGCTTCTTGTACACAGCAAAAACAAAGGGGTTTTTTTTCTGAAAAAAGAACCGAACTCGAAATTAGTATTCAAACTTTAAATTGACTGAGAGAGATTAGTGAGAAAGGACAATAATTGAAGGCGTAAATAGACTGCGCTTCTTTTGGTTAATAAGTGTTTTCTAAAAGGTGTAAAAAAGCTACCGTAATCTGTCTTTTTTGTTTGTCTGTCTGTCTGTCTATATGTCTGTCTATATGTCTGTCTATATCTCTATACTTAACTTACAATTACATTTAAACATTTAGATCTTTGTCCCCATCAAAACACAACGATATTCATGTTTCACCCTTGATGGTTTCTATCAACAAATTTCTACACTCATTCGAGGTTTTTCGAACGCAGACAGCTCAATTGAAAGTTTAAAATTTAGACAAAAAACTTCAACGTACAACGATCACTGTTGTAACGCAAAATCCGCCCACTGCATCAACAAATGGAGAGTATGAAGAGCTTGTCTTCTTGGCGAATGCTCATCAAGTCAAGGCATACAATAAAAAAACGTTGATAAACTTTTCAAATAAAAGTTTAGATCAATGTTGTTATGATTGAAGATCCGACTTTTATGAGATGCGATCACGCGGGTGGTTTCACGAGATCGATCTGGAGTCTACCTCGTCAAACAAATGGCCACACAGCCGTCATTCAATACGATGACAGTTCCACTGATACTTCGGTTTATTCAAATCTCAATTAAGAACTAAAACTTTTCCCTTAGCTTATCACAAATCTCTTTTCTCTACAAAGTGGATACGAGTTGATGACCCAGGATTTCGCTGAGAGCTGTCAAAATGTAACTTTATTCTTTCTTAAACAAAAAAGTAACGTTTTCAGGAAAGCTTTTCTAATGGATTTGGATCAAGAAACGAATAAAGACCAAGAGATTTTACTTGTCGTTCATGCTTCCAAAGTTGATGGGTTTAAAGATTGGAAACAGGGTGATCCAATCCTAACCTCAGTTGCTCCAACTTGGGATTTCTCCGATTCCAGCTCCTCAACGTTCAAAGATCTCTGGGTTTTCAATGTAGGCTTTAAATTTAATCCGATTACTAATCGAAATTTTAAAACTTACTTAAACTTTTTACATTTGAACAAATACAATTTTCAGCTTACCACGAAACTAAAGTTTGGTGTAAACGTGACGACAGAAGATGATGTGCCTTGTTCTTTAAAAGTGAATTTTCAATTAATTACTAAAATAGTATTTTAAAAACGATTTAAATGGTAATATAAATGGTAATATAAATGGTAATATAAATGGTATTTAAATGGTATTTAAAGGGTCTTTAAATGGTAATATAAATGGTTTTTAAATAGTCTTTAGATGGTAATATAAATGGTTTTTAAATGGTCTTTAAATGGTATTTAAATCGTAATATAAATGGTATTTAAATGGTATTTAAATAGTATTTAAATGGTATTTAAATAGTATTTAAATGACCTTTAAATGCTCTTTAAATGCAAATATTCAGGCATATCGAAAAAAAGCTGATATCGGCTCAATCGAAGCCCTTTCCTCATTCGTTGTTCAATTAAATCTTGACTCGGCTCAAACTGGTAACAAAGAAAAACAAATATCATGTATAAAGTCAAAATTTAGCACCAGAAGCTGGAAAAGATACCTATTTGACTCTTCACTTAAATACAGAATTAGATCTGACAACAGCCAGCGTAAACATCAGTGAGTATTCTAGTATCTTTCAAGTGCTATAGGAATATTACGCATAATCTTTAGCTCCGGTAAACTCAGTGAATCGAACAAGTGATCCAATTAATCTTACTCGCCGACCAACCACTTTTGAATGGATTAGCAGCAAGCCATTTAAATGCATTGATGCTACTTGGAGCTCTATTCAGGTCTTGGACTCTTCTATTTGAAAATAATTCATTTTAAGGTACGAATTGACACGATCGACAATCAGACTTATTATCGCACGATTCCTCATTTATGCTATACTTATCTTGCACCCACCAAACAGCCAAAAGTACTAGCTGTAGAAGATTTGGATAATTGCAAGGGAGATATTTTCTTGCCAACTGATCCACCAAGTAAGGCTAAATATAAGAAAAAATTTGCAATTTTACAGAATGTTTTGTCGATCAAACAAAGAGAAATAACACAAAAGAAAACATCTTCGTCTTTGGCTTATCAAATACGGTAAAATCAAGATTTATTAAATTTAGGAAAGAAAAGAAAGAAAAGGAAAAGAAAGATTTAGCTGTAAAAGAAATTGAACTCAAGGAAAAAAAGTACGCAGCTCATCCTTGACACAAGCCTTTTGATCACTACACAGTTTAGGAAAGAAAGGAAAAGAAAGGAAAAGAAAGAAAAGAAAGAAAAGAAAGGAAAAGAAAGGAAAAGAAAGGAAAAGAAAGAAAAGAAAGGAAAAGAAAGGAAAAGAAAGGAAAAGAAAGGAAAAGAAAGGAAAAGAAAGGAAAAGAAAGGAAAAGAAAGAAAAGAAAGAAAAGAAAAGAATTCAGGAAACAAACCAATTTGTGATTGATCCGGAGTATTCACTTCCGTCTTTGAATGGTTTCTCGCGAATCAAACTCATCATGTGGGATAAGTCTACAATTGTCGATGATGCTGAAGCGACCACAGCGCTGTAAGAACCTCTCCATGAACTTGTTATGCATTTTTAGTGCTGCACAAACACTTCTTTACACCACGTTCAAACTTGATCCGGCTAACCAAATTGATCCCGTCAAAGACACACAACTGTTCGACAAATTGACGGTAGTTTTGATGAATCAAAACAAGTTTAAGATTCACTTAGGATCTTGCCAATGATCTTAAAGAAGAGGAGAATGCTTTAATCTGGTTACTGCTTGGTGATCGATTGCCACCATCTAATGCTTTTGATAACTTCAAGAAAACAATCGCTCATCGGATTTTTGTCAATCAAGGACATCGAGTTGATTTTATATCTTTCCTCGTTACGATTTTCTTCAGGTTTTTGCTTTTATGGACTCAAATTTGAGAAGAAATGATCTTTCCACATGGGATGTGAATGCTATAAACAGTCTTGCTGGTAAATGAAAAGCTAAAGCAAAAAAAAGATCTCAAATTCAGGCACAACAAACGGTCACTTCATCACGATTGATAAAAGTGCTTATGGCAGTGATGGCAGTACCTTTTCAAACGTTTTTCATCTTTCTTTAAATCATTTAAAAAGATTTTTAGATCAGCAATTACTTCTATAACAATATCGTGAATCGCCGATTGTTATTAGCAGCTAATTTTAAAGTAAGGCAGTAATTTTTGAAGAAAAAAAAACAATGATTTTAGGACTCTACACAAGTAACATTCCCAACGTTGAAGCTTGCCACAGAACAAAACAATATCATCGTCACAGCGACTCTGACAATGACAAAAAGTCAACATTTCTATGATAGATATAACAACATTTCTATGATATATATAACAACAATTTCTATAAGCTTTAAAGTTACAGAAAATTCTGTAAACTTTTCAGAGTTTTCATTTTTCATCCAATTCATAGAAAGCCAACTTTTCCAGATGGTGTCTCCTGCCTAGATCCGCCGGTGATCGTCGTTGGTAAGGGACCAGCAATTCGCCTTCAACAACAAAGTATTATTCTTTCTTTTTTTTTCAACGAAACCAACCAATCTAGGCAACTCTAACTTGTGGTTGGGTCAAGGAGATTTCCCGGTCGAGACATACAATGTAAGTTTCTTTAAGAATTAACTCAATTTTTCTTTAGATGCGTCTCGCCGGCTTTTGCGTAGATTCGGTTACTGGAACACCAGTCGGAATGCACATTCGCTTCTGGACAGAGTTGAGAAATTGATAAAAAATAAACGCCAACACTCTTTTAGACCACAAGCTGTTTCTGTACAATATGCTGATCTAGGGATGGCAATTTGGAGTAATTTTTCTTTGCCAAGCAATGGTATGTTTGAAGCTAGACTTCAAAAATTCGCTTTTAGACCAAGGCTTTGCTGCTCGACTTGCAATCCCAGTCAAGAGTGACACTCTTACATCTACAAAGGTTTAGAAAGAAAACAAATTCTATTGGTTAAACTTTAAACTAAAATTTCAGGCTACTGTTTCAATTTTGCAATGCGATGGGACACCAAAGAAATTCTATGGTCAAACGCAGGAGGCTATTTCACTGGATGTTTCGGTCGATAAGGTAATGCAAAGACTATTACATAAAATCAACGTTTATTTTTAATAATCATTTAGAACGAGTGCACCAATTCGTATTTCTATCCATATTTCTGTCAATCACAATCTCCAAGCGGATGTCCAGCCGACTTTGACGGCATTCACTATGCTCAAGTGGGCTATATTTTTTTGATGCTTTTTTAATGTTTACATTGAAAACTCAACTAAATAACAAACATTTAGTTTACTATAAATGCAAATGGAAACACCACTCATTTCACAAGACCATTTGTTTGTGTTGACTCTGGTATAGCACCTGTCTCAATTTGCCAAACAGTTGATCGATTCGGAAACAACGTTTGTGGCGGTACCACAGCACCGTATTTCCGAGGTCTTAATTTCAATAGATTTTTCTAAAAACTTCTTCTCAGGCCCTACCGGTAAATTGGTCGATTGTTCAAACAATGGAGAAAACTTTTACAAACCGACGAGCGATCCACTCGCCTATCAGTGCTGTTGTAGTAAAGAATTTACGGGAGACTCTTGTCAAGATGGTTGGTTTTTGGAAAACCCTATCTTTTCAGAATAAAAAATACTCAGGAAAATGCTTGGAGCCAAACACGCGTGGTGGTGCCGTTGATACAGCATATCGAACGTTCAATGTCGTTTTTGGATATGGAAAGAATTCCGTACCCGCGTTTGTTGACACAGCTAGCATTCTGCCCAACGCTGCAATCCCTGGAGTCTGGCTCTATCAAGCGTTCACAGAATTAGTCGGAAGAGGAGGTAAATGTACATTTGAAACATTCGTTGCTTTGAAAATCAATTCGAATATCATTTTAGTCGTTCCCATTTATATTGGACCGGACTTTGACGCTTTCAAGGCGGCGATACAGAACATGCCATTTGAACCATTGAACACCAATGACACTTTTATCCTCCAGAACACCCTTAAACAGGTAAATTTGTGCTGAAAGAGTCTAGAAATTCAAAGTTTATTTGAAGAATTTTGCGCAAAGTTACAGGATGGTTTGTTTAGGTAACGGCTTCATTGGGCCCATCACCCTCCCGGGGTCTCACCGTTATTCACTATTATATTGATCCTACAGCTTATGACAATGATAATGAAGTAAATGCTCAAGTGTCAGGTATTCTTCAACTTCTCAAAGTTTTTACTTTTGTCGTTTGGCAGTCTTTAAATTTATGAATTGCCACTACTTCGGCTTTTCACTAAATGTTCATGAGCAATTAGGAATGAAATAGTTATGGATCTTTTTGGATCTGACTAGGTGATACTGACTTTTACCAACTTATGCCTCCTGAAATCTTGAATTGCTGAAAAAAGTATGCAATTGATGAACGAAATTGCATAACGCTGACCACCAGCAATACACTCCCCAACTTTCAGCCACGGTCGATGATAGTGACCCAAGACAAGTCGAAATTTTGTATAAAAAATTGCAATTGATGAACCAACAGGTTTGTGAAAATCAGCTAAAGTTAAAGAAAGATAAAGTGGCTCAAAAGTTCTGACTCGAAACGGACCGTACTCGCGCGTATCGACTAGCGATCGACTCAGGCTACAAACCACTGTAACTTTCTTTAGCGTTGATATTTTTAGGTATGATTTAGTCCATTCGAAAGCTCTTGAGATTTTCTATTTTTTGAGCTATAGATCATGTCAGATGAGCAAGTTAGAAGTGTTTGTAGTTTATGTTTGTAGTTTATTTTTGTAGTTTATGTTTGTAGTTTATTTTTGTAGTTTATGTTTATAATTTGTAGTGCCCATGTCTATAGTGGACCCTTTTGATGAAGAAAAAAATGTGTATTTAAAGAAGGCTTTCTGCGTGTAAAAAGTGCAAAAAGTTTGCCACCATTTCAGTCTCCCCAACCCAATACATAAAGCTTGACAGAGCATTTACAGGTTCTCGTGCTTACAAACTTTGACGTTGACCTCGATGGAAATCGGGCTTATGGGCAAAACGATGTCCTGGCTCAGGCGGCACTTTCGACTGGTTTGGTCATCGATTTCATATTGTTTGAAATGATTTTTAGGTGGAATGTCGTTTATGGTAACTAAAGAAGATTACTCCTTTAACACTTTGAAAGAGAATTTGGTAAGTTAGAAGATATTCTCAAAAAGTTTGACCACTTATTCCCTTAATGCTTTCAAATTTTAGACTACTTTCTTCTACAAAGATGGTCCAGCTTTCACGGTCAATCAAAAGAAAATGGTAAATTACCAAACATCACAAACGTTAAAAAGGCTTTTTAGGCTGGAGGGGAAACATTCAGTTTCTATATTGGTTCAGATGCATCATCCGTGCTTTCTTGGAGCGCAACACAAAATTATGCCCTTGCTTTATTCGAGAATAGTGCTTGTTCTGGTGACAGACTTCAAAACTTTTCTGACATCATCGGCACGTATCTATTGAAAGAAGGAAACACTTATTGTCTTGTGGGTACTTTACGCGAGTAACTGTAAACAAATGCATTTCAAAATGCATGAAAAGTATTTATAGACATTTAAAAAGTTATTAATAACTTCAGCAAACGGTGAACGAGGCGGTGGTGTCGATTTTTGCAAAAGATAACGGTTATGGATTGGCGACAGGTTTCGTGCAAAAATGGAGCGATGATCAAACAAACGCAGTCGCGACAGTCACAACTGGTGATTCAGTTCATTAAAGTTAAATAGAAAAAATTTTCAGCTATCGGCCCGTCATTGATGGTTTATACAAATCCAGATTATGATTTTGCCAATGCGGATCCCGCGACTAGGTTTACTTGAAAACTCGCTTATTAGCAAAAAAAGTCTAATTGAAGAGAGTCGAAACGGACGAGCTGCACGTATCAGAAAGTCACCTATTCGCTCAAGAAAAGCGACAGACCTGGCTACAACACTATTTTGGTAGAAACACAAAAGTTATCGAAGCTCAAAGAAAACATAAAAGAATTATCTAAAAAATGCGTTCAATCAAGAATTATCAAAAAAATTTCAATTTAGCTGAATATTCTCAATAAAGATAAAGATGTAGTGGATACTCGAATGGTTCCGTTTGCAGTGACGGCTTCAATCGGTAAAGAAGGCTTTTATTTGAAGCACTTTAAGTTTAGATTGCATGAATGGTGGTGTTTTTGATGGAGATGTTGGTGCTTGTCAATGTCCAAAGGAATGGGCTGGTATCGATTGCTCAATTCCGCAATGTTTCGGTGGCATAAATGGGTTTGTTTAGATAAATGTTTAGAAAACAGAAAACCTGGGAATTCCCATTTCACTATAATGCAAATAGCGGCCGTGAATAGTGAACATTCCAAAGGCTCACAAGCAACAAGTCTATTTCCTATTAATGTAAATTGCCGAAACTTTCAGAACCTGGGGCACTACTTGCAACTGTGTGGGATTCGCGTCAACATGTGATCAACGTGAGTTATCAAAACCATGAAAACCAAATAATTTGCAAATTTAGCATGGAAAGCCCTTCAGCTAACCACACTCTACTGAAAATATGTTAGTCAAAATTTTTTTTTGGAAGTAAATAAATACATTACAAAATGACTTTTATTTCTTTGTCCAGTCGCTTCTTGATGCAGGGAGATATCGTATCCGAGCGCCGAATTGTTCTCCATTTGAAACAAAAGCCGCCGAGTTCTCATGAAGCCAACGATTCACCTGAAAGTTGAATCCAAATCCAATGATTGTGTCAAATCCAATGATTGTATCAAATCCAATGATTGTGTCAAATCCAATAATTGTGTCAAATCCAATGATTGTGTCAAATCCAATGATTGTTTCAAATCCAATGATTGTGTCAAATCCAATACAATAATCCAATAATTCCAAAGAGTATGTGCTAAAAGTTAACCTTTTTTGGAACTTACTTTTCCCTGAATGAGTTCCTCTTTCGATGGGGGGAAATTTTGATTGACACCTTTATTAGTTGGATGTTTCACATGAACGTCATCGCGAACCTTTAAATTACTTAAATGTTTACAAAGAAAAAATCTCAAAACTTCAGCATAATATTGAACTCTTCCCGGGTAATCGACGAAACGATCGCAAACATGTTTAATCAAACCATTGTATCCTGTTTCTCCGATTCTCAATAAAACATCGTTATTGGTTTCGTTTTTGTAGAAACATCCTACATTATATTGAGTTTGATTGAGTTAAGCTCTTTTCCTCTTTACCGGTAATCCATCTACCCGTATCAAGGCAAATCCACTGAAATGTACCCAATCGAAAAGTCGACCCAACGTGATATGATTCACTTTCAACCAGACATCGAGGCTCTAGAAATTAATCAAACTTTTCACTTCTTATTGATATTTTTGTCACACACCTTGCTCATACCTAATTCGCAGATCATCTTCATCACAAGCATGCCAAAAACCCTCCACCGTTTTGTTTATTTTTGTTGAAATTAGTTCTTTCTGTGGTGACATACAACCGACGAAGGTAGCGTTTGCCCTATTAGTTGAAATTAATTATCGCAAGTTTTGCAAGGAGAACCCGTTAGAAGATGAACAGTTATACATCCAAACATTCTCATCAAGCCATTCAGCACCTTGCTTTCGACAAACTCCATACCAATCCCGGCAATCGCATTCTTCTAGATAATTCTTTTGGGTTTGTTGTTTTTATAACAACAGTGAAACCTGATAACAATTCAATGTCGAATTCTTCATCGGCATTTACGAAAATAAAACCAATGAGCACCAGCATGTAGCCAAACAATAGCATGATTGTATTCAGTCAGATAATAAAATTTAGTGACTGAGGTTTCGTCAAAATAAAATCCAATCACCTCAAGGACACCAAACAAGAAAGACTATTGCAACAACTTTCGTTATCTATGCTAGCGAGAATGGTTTCCTCACAAAACCGGTTTGATTCGACGATTGGCTTTTCTATTATATGCTAGCCTGTTCGGTGTGGCTAAGATATAGCAACAATAACAAAACAATTTATTGAAAAATAAAGAAACAAATTAAAGTCGACGACCTCTGTGTCCTCCCTTTCTTCGTGTGCTGTCCGATGGAATTGGTGTCACATCTTCGATTCGTCCAATCTTGATACCACTGCGAGCAAGGGCACGAAGAGCCGATTGAGCTCCTGGTCCTGGAGTCTTGGTACGAGTTCCTCCTGTAGCACGAAGTTTCACGTGAAGAGCGTTGATTCCGAGCTAAACAAAAACAGAATGAAACTTTACCCAATGCTTTGTCAAATGATTTTTACTTTCTAAGGGACGCTCTTTACATATTTTAGACTACCGCATCAAGAAATAATTTTGATTTAACAAAATCAGGACATTTACATATTTTACGTCACCTCGTCAAGCCAAGTGAACAGAAATGATGCAAAACATACCCATCATTCCTAACAAAAATTACAATAAATTTAATAGTACCCAGAAGATGACCAAATTTCAAAACGATTGCAAGATAGCTTACAATAAATAATAGGCAACCCATTAAGTGCGACAACTACACAACCAAAAAACAGCCCAGCTACATACCTGTTTGCATCGTTCAGCAACATCCTGAGCGGCCAACATAGCAGCGTAAGGCGAGGACTCGTCACGATCAGCCTTGACTTTCATTCCACCGGTAATTCGGCAAATCGTTTCACGGCCTAAAAAAGACAAACAATCAATAAGTCTGCAAAAAATCAAAACTCAATTAGGATTTGGGTCAAAACCCCAGTAATGAACAGTTTTACATAATTTGCGCCTATGTAGCAGTAGTAAAGCTTTAATACACGGAAAATTAGCAAATCTACTTAACTAGTATCCACTTTACACTCTTTTAGACGTTCCGGCACGTCACAGATACTTCTTCGACTGTCCAAATCCATTCAAATAGCGTTTATAATTCTATAGCCCGTTAAGCAAAAAAACCCCCACCTGATAAATCGGTAACATGGACGAAAGTATCGTTGAAGGAAGCAAAAATGTGAGCGACTCCGAAGACCTTCTCGCCCTCTCGAGCTTGTGGTCCAAGCACGACCACGGGCTGCTCCTCCTTGACCTTTCCCTTACGAGCTGGAGGCATTTTCCAAGTGTCTGAAACTTTAAAAATGAAATCCAGGGCTAAAAAACACGGAGAAATGAAAATTCAATAAATGTGTTAGGCGTTTTTGAAAGGTGGTAGTGGTATCATTGTTAAGAAATACAAGACCCTTCTTATATTATGCCCCAAAGTGGTTAAATCGAACGTTTAGAAAGGGGGGATGTGCTAGCAAACAAGTTCTGGGGAAAAAAATCAACCACAAAATCCAAACGAAAATTGAATGTTCTAAATTCTCTGCGTCTCCAACTTTTCCGCCATGCCTTTGGCGGAATTTTAATGGTCCCGTCGTGTCTGAAATGACTACGGTAATGAAACGGACTATAATTTTAGTACATAAGACACCTCGAGCATTTTTTCTCAATTCATTTTTAATTTCTTATTTTCTTTTAAAAATCACTGTTATTTCTCACCGATTAGACTCGATTAGCGTAGAATTTTTAGCACCTAAAGCTACTAAAAAGTCAAGGTAAATTCTTCAAGTCAAGGTTTAACAATCGAAAAACTTATCAGTAAGTTTCAGAAAACTGCCATGATAGGAAATGATCGATATTTCTCTAAAAGTCTTAACTGATGCTGGGAAAGGATTACTCGATTCGATAACAGGACTTCTAGTAAGTTAGAATAGTGGGACAAAGATATATGAAAAATTCAGCTGATATTCGAGCTAGATCGAGAAGAACCTCAAACTAGTACGCCACAACTATCGCGTCAAAATGTGAGGACGGTTTTACAGGTAATTAAAAACAAGGAACTCTGCGGCAAATTGAATCACGGCTTTCAGGAACGTAGAGAGCGAAAGGGTCAGGCTCCACCGCCAAGAACGGTCGATGAGGTGGCACCAAGAGTGAAGGCCTGGAAAAGGTAACAAGGGCCTAATCGATAAATAAATAACATCGAATCATAGAGTTCTACAATGTATTGCCAGCAACCTCATCATTGCCGCCACATTGCAACTGATATTGATTTTCTTACCATGGATTGGCGAACTCCTGCTCCCCAAAAAATCCACAGACTACGCGAGCGTGTTATCGTTGATGGGAGTCTTCCCAATGTTCCTCTTTTCACGAGTTATCAATATTCTTTGGTTTTCCGATATCGCTGGTGCATGCCGACGTGCTCTTCAAATCAAAGAGTCACGGACAGTTGACTTTAGGTAAGCAGAAACATGAAAAGTTTGTACAGATTGTACTGACAATTTCAGAACCTGGATCAGCGACTTCATCATCGCTATTGTCTTGGAAGTCATCTTTCTTCTTCAATCCGCGGCTGTCATGCACATACCGATTCCTATTATAGCCCCAGTTCTATCATTTATTCATTTGTCCTTACTACATTCCTTGTACAGGTATAAAGCCGAGAAATCGCTCAAGATTTAACGCAAATTTCAGTTTTGAATACTTCTGGATGGATCGACGATTAATGCTTAGCAAAAGGGTAGAGATTATGCAAAACAATTGGTCCTACTTTGTGGGTTTCGGCACACCACTAACAGTGGCTGCTTGGATATCTCCGAATTTCGTCGTTGGTGGTTGTTTATTTGGTGCACTCTTCCCACTCTTCATCATCAGCAGCTTCAAGGTAATCAAACAAAAATGAAACAAAAAAAAACACAAAGATTTAGTCTGCTGCCAAACGTTCCGATTCGTTTTCTGAACCAAACATTGTGCCTTCTCTCAACATTTTCACGCCTTCACTACTAGTTACTGATCGTTTTGCAACTCATATCTCAAGTTTTTTGCTTAGGCGCTAAGCGCTATTTATTGCTCAAGGACCTAGTACACTATTGCTCAAATTGTATGTACATAGCCACTTACCTGTGTCAGATCAAAATTTATTTTGTATAGAGAATAAATAGTATTATATAAAAGTTTAGAGACGATACCGTAGTTAAACGGTCATTTTCTATAACGTGCTCCACATTTCTCGCCATTTTTTTTTTGTTTGTCACAAAAGAAATTTTCATTTTTGATTTTTGAGCTGATTCATTTTTGCTCAACCCTTTCGGACTTTTCTTGTCACTCGATTCTTCTTTTCAACAAACACTTTTGATTTAGGGTATGACGCAGCCAGCAGTCGAAGGGCTTGCCGCCGGCCTTAGCAAAGGCTACCCCATTACCAAGTTGGAGAATAAGCCACGACAATGTCGTCGCAAAGGAACCAAATCGAAGAAAGCCGTGGTACGTTTTATGTTTTTTCTAATTCATGTGGTACTTGTTTGCTACTTAAATAAGAGAGTGAAATAGCCATTAGAAGAAGATTCATTTTCTTTTCTTTCATGGAGCTGGGTAATTTGGAGTGTGAGTTGATGTAAATTAGGACTTAAAACCATGAATTTTTGTTACTTATAGCGCGCAGGCTCCGTGCGTGTTTCATGCATTAAGTAACATCTATAAACTGCATAAACTTTTTATGTTTTAGGCTGTTCGAGATCTCGTTCGTGAAATCGCTGGATTCGCCCCGTATGAGAGAAGAGCGATGGAGTTCCTCAAGATCAGCAAGGACAAGAAAGCCCTGAAGTTCCTGAAGAAGCGTGTTGGAGGACACGGCCGCGGCAAGCATAAGAGAGACGAGTTGCAAGATGTCTTGATCGCTATGAGAAAGCACCACAAATAATTTGTTTGAATAAATTGTTATAACTTTTTTATTAAATTCTTAAACTTGGTTAAAAGCACACCACTTCAGTATATTGTTGCTCATCTCTAAAATTAAAAGTTACTTTACAAGCAAGCTGTGGCGTGATTACTATAACACATTTTTCGCGTTGGTGTTAGATTTGATGTTAATGATCTTGATCAGTATTAAAGATCTTATGCTTAGGGTGACATCTATTGTTGATGGCGGCTCGGGCGTTGAGGGTAATTCCGCGTCTCGCACAAGGAACAATCTCCTTCAGAAGCTATGCTAGCTGTACGAGAACGATCGCATTGCCAGTTCTTGACAAATTTTGCATTCAGGTTTGGAATTAGAAAGTTAGTTTACTGCTAGTATTGTCACACGTCTATTATCGTACATTTTTTTTAGAAGCGCTACAGTCAAGTGAACGTTTTTGGGCCTTTTGATCCACCTAAGCCACTTACATTGAAGGAGGTAAGCAAATGTTTTACTTAAGTTTCATGAAGCTTTACTTTAATATTTGGTGCACATGGAGTAGGAAAGGAATTTGCCTAAACATCTAAATCATTTTGAAAGTTGCAATCGACTATGCCTAGTCAATTGCGATAAAATTAGCTGGTAGATTTTGAATGTTTTTAGCAGTTTTGTGTCAAATTTTATCAGCTTATTGAGCATGGAATCGATATTTATTAGACACCTGCGATTACGCTTAAAGGCTTTATGCTATTTTTAACTAGCTTCCCCCAACTCCCGTTGCACCTAAAATAGGAAGGTTGAAGTATAATTTATGCAGATGTATTTACTTTATTCTATTTAGGTTGAACAACGGGTTCTTAAGGCTGTTCGTGCCTGGGATCGATTTCCCGCTGACAAAGTTTGTGCCTGTGTTATTTTCTTTATATCGAGTAGTTTAGGAAAAACTACTAACCATGGATGCCACCTTTGCCCAAGATTTGGGTTTTGACTCATTAGATCAGGTAACTTTTAAAAGTACTGATTGTAAAGAATCATGGCAAAAGAGTTTTAAAATTAAAATATGTTTTAAATTTAGGTTGAAGTCACAATGGCGCTCGAGGACGAGTTTGGTTTTGAAATTCCTTTGCAAGTAAGTTTTTAAGTTTTGTTACCAATATTATTAAAAAATAGCGGCATTTGGTTTTGTGCATTTAAATTTAAATTTTTCAGGATGCTGAAAAGCTAAAATCTCCTCGCGACGTGTTTAAATATATTTGCGAGCGAGAAGATGTCTTTGAATAATGCTAAGGTAAGGTTTTATTTTATAACCTATAACCAGGGCGAAACATAGAAAATTCAAGCGTCATAAAGTGTAACTTTAGATCACTGCTTTCAATTTCGGGTTCTCAGATGTATATTGGCATCTCGACACATAGATGTATGTTAATGATGTTCTAGTGATCGATTTTATTAAATAGCTTGTACAAAATAGTTGGATTATTCTGGTTTAATAAATTAGTTTAACTTCGTTGGTTTTATCAATTCAAAATGCATAATATAACTCTTTAAAATGGTGCAGACAGAGCTGGATTCTTATCATGCCGGAGATCATTTGATGGTTTGATCTTCGGGAAGGGGATACCCCTCTAGGCAGTGTCACGTGGTTCTTCAAGGAAATTATGCGTTGATTTCTTTGACAGGATATCAAAGAGCAACCAGAGAACAAGAGGCACTAGAAAATATTTATCAACGTATTTGGTTTTTTGTTAGATAATTTAGAATCGATTTTCAACCGGCGCTTGTTTACTTAATTGTTTTGATCGGTGGTGAACGACTCGTTTTTTCTTCATATTTCTCGATTGATAATAGTACAAGTTCACTACGGTCACTAAGGCTGATTGATTTCGAGTTATCACGTATGTTATCCATACAGACTTACCATTTATCTCATCTTTCCGTGGATACTAAGCTTTTTTGCTTTCGATTTTTATATTTCGCTTTCACTCTATAAAGTAAATCGGAGTTGAAGTTGGATAATCAAAATGTGCGGTATCATTGGGCTAGTTCAAGCGGCCGATTGTGAGGCTCGAGGGGCACTGCCAATTTTGGCTGCTGATGGATTGACTGCTCTACAACATCGGTATTGATTTATTGCTTATCGTTTTCTAGTTTGCTTAATTCATTTTGCAATCTAAAAACCAACATATCCAAATCTATCACTTTAAAATTTATGGCAATCTCTGATAATTGGCTAGACGAATTTGATGGTTTAGCGGTACCGAATCGGCTGGTCTTGTCGGCTCGGGTGGAGTTGATCGTCATGCTTTTGATATTGTGAAAGGACATGGTCTTGTTAGAGAAATTTTCACACATGAAGCTATCTCTCGATTAGATGGTAAATCTAACCATCTATTTCCAAAGAAATTTCCTTACAGATGCTGTAATTGTCATGGGTCACAATCGTTATTCGACAGCTGGCAAGAAACGGGTAAAACTCGAACTTTAAACTAAAATTTCAAAACGTTGACAAAATATTGTTATTTAAAGCCGACAATCAATTGTGTGCAACCATTCGTGGTTTACACAGCAATTGGCACCATAGCCATTGCACATAATGGAGAACTCGTTGGAGCCGAATCGAAAAGAAATGAGGTTTTAAATTTTAAAGTGAACTTTATCAATGAGATTTTAAGGCCTTACATCAAGGTGTTGGACTATCGACGGATACCGACTCAGAGCTTATTGCACAGGTTAGAAAAAGAAGGGACAAGATTACAAAATATCATACTTCAAGTCCTTTAAGCTTTAACTCAACTTAACTTAAACTTAAACTTAACTTAAACTTAACTTAAACTTAACTTAAACTTAACTTAAACCTAACTTAACTTAAACCTAACAACTGTGCAGATGGTAGCCAAAGCCGTGGCTCTCAACTACAAATGTCGAGTGAATGGCGATCAATGGGGTGATATAAGCAAAGTATTTGGTCATCAAATTCATAGAGTTTAAAAAAATTTCAAGGAACTTGCTGTCACCATGTCAGCTTTCAAAACGTCATATTCACTGCTCGTGATGACCTACGATCGACTATACGCAATACGGTTTGTAGGCAAGTGATTTGAGGTGGTTAGAATGGAGAGGCCATTCCAGAGATCCGTGGGGAAATCGACCACTCTGCGTTGGCACAATCTACTCGAGTCGTGAGCCGAGAAATGGTTTGCTTTAGGCTTTAGGCTTCTAGACACGATCTGCTTTTTAGGAACCAGTCAATATGCGCTTGGATACGTGGCCGCTTCCGAGTCTTGTGCTCTTCCACCATCAGGTAATTGATTACGATTCAAAAGCTTAATGATAACTCAAAATGAATATTTAGCGAGAATCGATATGGAGGTGAAACCGGGAGAAATCGTTGAGATTAGTCGACGTGGAATTCGAAGTGTTTATCAAGTCAGTGATACCAGAATCATTAGTCAAGAGCTCTTTTTATGAAAGATGAAGATGAAGCTCTTTTTAGATGAAACCCCACAACCCATCAGCTTTTTGCATTTTCGAGTATGTTTATTTTGCGAGAGGAGACACGATTTTGGAAGGTTTATTTAAGAAAAGCTATGAATGACAATGCAAAAATTTCAGGACAACAAGTGCAATCGGTTCGCGAGGAGACTGGCCGAATTCTAGCCAGAGAAGCGCCAGTAAATCTTTTTCATTAACTAAATTTTAAATATAAACTTCAAAGCTCTTTTAAAAGCGTTTTAGATCGATGCAGATATTGTGAGCAATGTGCCGGATAGCTCAACAGCAGCGGCAATCGGTTACGCGGAACAGGTTCGGAGGATTTGGCATTAACCTTGCAAAACTTTCGTTGTCAAAATAAAAGAGAGTATAATTTTATGTACTTGGTGAAGTTTTTCGTCTATTTTTGGCTGAAATTCTATTTCTATTGCAGAATTCTCGGCAGAATTCTCGGCTGAATTCTCGGCTGAATTCTCGAGGCAATCAAAGTGCCAAACACTGCAGAACATCCCGATTATTCTTCTCATGATCAGATCCTTTTTTTTCCAGCAAATAGCCCAGATCTCTGAATTTTCAAGATAAAAAAATTGCAATATTATAACAAATCTTTTAAGAAAATCTATTCAAATAAATCTTTTAAGTCCGGAATCCCATATGAGCCGTCTTTACATCGGAATAGCTATGTTGGCCGATCTTTCATCCAACCCAACACTGGTTTTCACTTCGAACGCTTACAATTTTAACTTTCAAACACAGAGCTAAGACAATCGGCGATTTTGCGAAAGTTTGGAGTGCTGAAGAACAATGTAAGAGATCGACGCATTGTTTTGGTCGATGATTCGATAGGTTTTGTCAATTGCGCAGATTTTGTAAAGTGTTTTTTTTTCAGTCCGTGGAAATACAATGGGAATCATCGTCAAAATGCTTTGGGACGCTGGGGCGAAAGAGGTGAATTCTTGAAGAAAAATTATTGTAAAGGAGTGATCAACAATTATTGTAAAAATTGTAAACAGCAAAATGATTGTAAAGGAGTGATTCAGGTACATCTCCGAATCGCTTCCCCACCATTGAAATACCCATGTTTCATGGGAATCAACATCCCATCATCGAAAGAGCTTATTGCGGCGAATAAAACTTTGGAAGAGATGGAGGAGATGCTCGGCGTCACTTCACTGCGATACTTATCTGTTGATGGTAAGAATTCAAGTCTTTCTTTTGCGGCTATTGATGCAAAACTTGATCTTAGTATGATCGGAATCAATATAATTCGTTTGTGATTTGATTTGAAAGTGTTCAAAACAAACGAAAACTATCAAAACAAGTTTAGTGATAGAAAATGATTTTGAGGAGAGGAAAAATGACGAAAAAGTACAATTACAGTAATCCGACAAATAAAAAGAGTCGTGATTTAGAAAAAGAGAATGTCAACTTTTGGCAAATGATTGAAACAGAGTTGAAATTCGAATTGAAACAAACACAAGGCAGAAAGCTGTAGTTATAGTTTGGCTATTGTATTGACCTAACAAAAAGTCTATTTTGAGCTTTAAAATTTTCTGAAGCGTGTTCAAAAGGTGTATTTCAACAACAAGTTTCTAGGATTGAAAGAGGCTGTCTCGAAAAGACTCCACTCTGAACCCGGATTTGAGCCTGGCCATTGCACCGCCTGTTTAACTGGAAACTATCCCGTAAAATTGGACTTCTAATTATTGATGAACAGCTACTCTTTTATTTTGTTGATTCAATGTGCTGAATATATTTTTGCTTACTTGTTGTGACTCTGTCACCAAAAAGTCACCAAAAAGCTGCAGTCTAATAAGACACCAGAAATACCGTACTCTAAACAATGTCGCGTGTATAAAAATACGCCTCATTTCCCATTTGATGAATTTTCGGGGTAGGCTAATTTCCGTTATTTTTTTTGCGCAACTCGCCATAACTTCCTTTTAAGTGGAACAATCTTTATGATTTTGGTTTCATTTTGTTGCACTTCTTGAGATCTACAAAATGAAAACATAAAAATTGGCCGACTTAGAAGAAAGTTATGGTGAGTTGCGCAAAAAAAATTACGGATATTAGCCTACCCGAATTTTCTCTTATTTTTCTTGTGAAAGTTGGTTTTTTTTTGTTCGAAATACTTTAAAAAGCTTCATCAAAGTGATTTCTTTTTGTTTCTGGGGAAACCCATTGTTTCTTTGAGCTTTGTTGAAACATTTTCACACGCGTGTATTGAATAAACTTGATTTTCTTATTCATTTAAGGAGAGGAAACTAATAATTCGTGATTAGTTGTTATATTTGTCACTTCTAAAAGAACAATTTATCAAAAAATCTACAAGCTAATAAATTAATCTTGATAAGAGTGCTCTTTTCGAAGTTTTTCTTCTAAAAAATCATATCGAGAAGCCATTTTCTTGTAGGTATCTTTCACATTCTGGGGCTCGATTTTACGTAAAATCTTGTGAAGAGGAGTTGAGCTAACATTAGTCAATGAAGAACCTGTATATAGTTGAATTTTGCTTTGATAATTGATAAGTGAAACTACCATATCTTGCTCTTAAAGCACCCCCGAGGGCAGCCGAGTGTGGAACAGAGATCGTGTAAACGGGCAAATGGAAAACATCGGCGATCAACTGGAGAAGACTCACGTTTTCTGATGCTCCACCGGTTACCAGAATTCTACCTAAACTTTCTACAATTGCACTGAAAATTTCTCTGTTTCTTTTTATGTAAAAACCCCCACCATTCCCTTTCCAGCCCAATCTCCTCGCGTACACCAACTTTGAGATGAACTGGCTTTCTAAGACAGCTCGAATCTCAACTTCTGGTGAAAAACTATTCACCTAAACTTGAAATTATGCTCAGAAAAGCTTCAATTTGTTTACTTGTTCACTTTTTTCATTAAATCTGTAGTCTCCAGCTTTAATCGGTGGCGCGATTTCATTGAGATCGTAATAAAAGCCTAGGGAAACGGTTAAATGCTTTAAACGAAATATTTCTGACCTAAATTTTCATCATTTTCAGCTGAAGTTTTATTCAAAATCTCTCCAATTGAATCCCATTCTAATCCAAGAGCTTTTCGAACTCGTTCTCTTGTCAGACTTCCGTTCTTGAAACTGAATTGTTGTTCCGAATTGTTTCCAGGTTATTTTGAAATCAAACCAAGCCATTCCCATGAACTCATTCGGTCGATAGGGATGCACAAATATGTGTCCGTCAAGGCAAAAATTTGGATCAGGAGTTGAGAAGAAAACGGTATCACTGGTGCCCAATGAAAGCACCAAAGAATCCTCGTCGGCACACAATCCAGCAAGAGAAGCTGTTGAGAAGTTTTTGTTTATTTTATTCTTTTTATTACTTTATGTCATTCTTTATGTCATTTATTACTTTCAATATTCATTTTACTCACCTGGATTGTCACCAGTAAAGGCTAAAACTGAACAACTTTTCTCTAAACCGTATCTTTCAGAAAAGTAGTGGGAGATTGAGCCCTGAAATGTCAATGAATGTCAATGAAATGAAATTCATTTATCTTTTTGTCTCATAAACTTACAATGATCGAGTCTGTTGCCACTGGATTTCCAAGTTTTTTTGAAAGTTCTTGAGCAAATTTTTGTCCATCTGTTCCGGGAGGAGCACAACCTGAATAAATGAAAGGATATTTAGTGTTTTGTTTTATGATTGAACCTTGTAGACACTTAAAATCCCAATCTCTGGTGTTAACGTTCAAAAGATTCATTCCGCTTCCATCCGAGAGATCAATCGGAACCACTCGACCGACGAGAATCGATGCCACAAATGAAGAGACCAATGAAATTTTCTGAAAAGGCCCTTTGTGCGCGGGTTATGCATGGCCGTCGTGGTCGACTGGCTAAGGCTTAGGCTTAGGCTTAGGCTTGGACTTAGGCTTAGGCTTAGGCTTGGACTTAGTGCGTAGGCTAGCGGCTAGCGCCTAGCACTAAGTCTATTTGGGTTTGGGCTGAACCCCCATTTTTTGGTTAGGCTTAGGCGTAGGCCATTCAATCCCGCCGGTCAAGGGTCGAGGGTTCAATCCCGCGGCTTCCTTTTTATTTTTTTAATTTATATTTTTTCAATCGTCTTTTTTATTTTTCAATTTATGGCTTTATAGCCCACATTTAAGATTTAAGGGTTGTGCTTTTGTATTTTTTTTTGCTACATTATTGCCAATAAAAATTCACCGTAGTCTTTTCATAAACCTCAGCTTCGTCTTCGGCAATTTTTGCTATCTGGCTTCCACTGAAACGGTGATAAGCTCGAGAACCGGTGATAGCAGCCAAATTCTAGAACTTGAGATAAAGGACGAAATTTCCATTTGGGTACCTCTTTCCCTCCTACAGCTGTCTCTAAACGATCACACTGAACTCCTGTGCTTGAGTCCATCCAAATTGGGCACGCTTCTCTGGCAAAAGATCCCTAAACAATTATAAACTTTGCATAAAGCTCTTTAATGTGTAAAATTTATAATGTTACTAACCTCTAATGTTTTCAAGACTTTATTTGGACGAAGCTCTTGTAGTCGTTTTTCAGCAAGAGCTGACCAGTAAACGGTGCCATGTTGCTAAACTTAAATAGGTATATTTTTTCGCCTAATCTTAAAAATTTGACTACAACTCACTTGTCCACATCCAGAAATAGCTTTTATTCGTTTTAAATCATCTTTCAATGTTTCAGCGAGTTGTTCAAATAGTTTATCGATAGCAGCGAGCCAAAGAGTGACCGGAGAAGTGACGACCTCACCGTTCTCTGATCGATGAACTCCATCATTTGTTCTAGGACTTTCAAGTAATCAAATTAGGTAATCAGTTTTTTACTTGAATTCCGATAAATCTCGATCAAAGTTTACAGCTATTGAAAGAACCAAATTGCATTCGTCATCAATGATCACAGCTTTTAACTAAAAAAAACTTTAATTTTAACATCTTTAACTAAAAAAAACAATTATAATATCTATAATAATAACTATAAATAAAATAAATAATAAAATAAATATTAAAATACCTGTTGTGTGCTCAAATCTAATCCCAAATATAGTGCAGTTTTTGACATCACAATGGAAATTTGTAATTTGAATTAAAGAAAAAAAGCGAAAAGGAAAAGAAGGCGGGGGAAAGTGATGGCTTTTGGTGGGTGTGGGAAACATTGATCGGCAAATATGCACGGGGGAATGATGGGGAAAAGGGTGATCGCAGGGACAGGATAGAGGGTGATCGCAGGGACAGGATATGATATGAAAAGAGAGAGAGAGAGGATCGCTGAATGCTCTAACAATCATTAGTGTTTTATCTCTTTCGTTCATTTTGTCTTTTTTTTGTTTGCATTTTAAACCATTTATGAATCATTTATTCTGTACAATCTGTGCTCGCATAGGAAAAAAATAAGAACAATTGCTGTTGCTTGCTTGAATGAAAAATGGGGAATGCATTCGAGAATACTGGATCAATTGATCAATCGAAAGATCAACGTGTCAATGTTTCATAAGCGACATTTGAAGCTGTGGTGTCGAGTGGCCGTCCACGAGGAGCTAGTCGTGCCGAAATTTCTCTCGCCGAGACTCTCGATGACGGCACCTCTGCGTGGCAATGGCGGTGGTGGGCCGCGCAACTCACTGAAAGGAAAAGGAAACTGAGAGATTACCGTATTTTCCCTAATAGTAGTGCCGAGTTGGTGCCTATTTTACGGTTTCCAAGTTCTCACAGAAGCTCAACACTCTAATCCTCCACTAGATCTGATCGTCAGCTACATTTTCCGACCCCACATCGATAGGTTCTGATAAGCGATTCTCGAGATTTCAAGGAATTTGGGGCTGCGCTACTATTAGGGAAAATTTGAATCAGAAATCAGAATTTCTTTGATAGTTTATAGATTAATCTAAGCAATGATCAACTCACGTAGACACGTGTGCGTCGTGAATGTTGTCAAGGCTTCTCGTCTTCTTGTTTGGCCTCGTTAAAGTGTCTCCGAAGCTGAAAAGGAGAACTTGTTTGATTGTAAATGTCAACTGGATTGATCAAAGCAATACTGACTGATCTAACCTATAAATTGATTGTTCTAGGCTATAAAATGATTGATCAAAGCAATACTGATTGATCTAGAGCTTTCTGTATTTTGGAACTTACAGCCGATAACGTTGATCTGGGTCATCGAGCGCTGGAAGCTCGCTCACCGACAATTGACTGATTCTCTTTGATTGAAGCCCATCCAAATGAAGACCAACCTATCATTTTTCTTATATTCATCATTTCTAATATTATTCATTGCCTACTTTTGTCAAATCTCCAGTGCTTGCCCTTTTTGTTCTTAAATCGACGGTGGGATTTCGTTGCGCGTCCGTGACTCCACTATTTGATCGACTCGCGAGCACTGGACGGCTTGTGGGTCTAGAAAATTTCCTTTAATCAACTAAAACAGTAATGAAATTGTTACTGAATGATAGGTTTTATGGAAAAGCCTATAGAAAAGAATCTAATCAAAAAAAATCACCTTGGATGAAGCAATCCAGATAAAAACAATCGTTGCTCAAGGTCCATGATCGCTCGTTGATGCGTAGGTCGTGAAAGAAGCAGCTGTAAATTTTATCAACTTAATAATTAAGAAAAATGTGTTACCTGAATATTCGCGTGCATGATTTGAGCCGTTTCTGCGCTATCACATCTAAATTTTTGCCGAAAATTCACCAAATTTTCTGATTCTGATTAATACCGATAGCAGTGAACGTGCATTGGTGATTGCATCTCTGGATTTAAAACCAACATCACAACGCCTACCACATCGTCGAATGGAGCACTTCCAGTAAGACTGAATTTATTTATTTATTGATTTACCGTAAATACTGTAATAGTACCCCACCGCCCTCGTACAGTCGCGTAGTCGCAAAAGCTTTTTAGTATTTCATTTTTTTCAAAGCGCCCGTACTTTCAAAAAATGCGTCTTTGGTATCAAAAAATAGCTGAAATTCAGGGCTATTTTTTGATACCTAAGCGCGTATTGTAGCATAAACCAGTGTCGAGAAAAACTCGTTCAAAGCTAGACTACGCAATACTCCGCACCGTCATTATGGGGATGGGGTACCTCGTACAGTCGCGTAGTCGCAAAAGTTTTTTAGTATTTCATTTTTACATTACAGTATTTACGGTATTTCTTTTCTATGACTTTATAAATTTATATAAGAATTTTAGGTGACCTGTAGGTGATACAATTGGCGGAGATTTGAAATTCGACGAGTTGCATTTTCACTTTTCCTGAACGACTCAACGCTGGCACTGATTGAGTCAACTTGAGACCTTTATGAGCAATCTGAAAAGTTCTCTGTTTTTTTTTGAATCTTTTATTTATTTAAACAAACTTGAACAGTAGCCTTGCTTGGGGTTTTCTTGAAGCTCTCTCTCAACAAATGCCTCATCACTGGCAGTACAATAGCTGAGCCACGAACCTGAAAGTTTCTTTGTTAATTTATTTGTTAGTTTATTTATTAGTTTATTTGTTAGTTTATTTGTCAGTCTATTTGTTAGTTTATTTGTTAGTTTCAACTGAAATTTTGTTTTTATTTGTTAAAGTTAATTGTTAATTGTTAATTGTTATTTTTAATCCCGGAAGATCATATTTTTTTTGTAATTTTTTTCACTCACTCCATCAGCTTCTCGTGATCCCAAATACCAGACACAAAAATGGGATTTGGCAATCTTATTCGTATTGAAAAGCCACCCCATCATCTTCTCTAACTCATTTCTCTGTCAGAGTTTACTGAAAATCAAAAATAAAGAATATTTCAATGAAGGAAGAAAAAAGAGTTGCAAAATGCCGCTTCTCGCAAAAAGACGAAGAAAAATGATGTATGAGTTTTATTTGCATTAACGGGCGGGTGGAAAAAGGGCCGAGACAGCTCGATGACAGTTTTCGAGCATTCGATCCGTTTTCATCCTAAAGGATTCTTCCCTCAAAAGAAACGACAAATCGATGTCTTTTCTTTGCTCATCACCCTCTGGGTGGCCTTTTCTAAAAAAAGAAGATAATGAGTATTTTGTAAAGAGTAATGAGCGATCTAGTAAGAATAAAACTCTATAATTAAGGCTTAGATTATATTATTTCGGGGTAGGCTAATTTCCGCAAATTTCTGCGAATTTTTTTGGGCAACTCGCCATAACTTTCTTCTAAGTTGGCCAATATTTATGATTTTGGTTTCATTTTGTTGCACTTATTGAGATCTACAAAATGAAACCAAAATCATAAAAATTGTTCCACTTAAAAGGAAGTTATGGCGAGTTGCGCAAAAGACCTAGTGGCGCAAATGACCCTGTTGCGCGAAAAATTTGGCACAAAGTAGCCACCCCCATAATATCTCTAAGTTTTTTGCACCGCAGGGTCATTTGCGCAACTCACCATAACTTTCTTCTAAGTGGAACAACCTTTATGATTTTGGTGTCATTTTGTAGATCTCAATAAGTGCAACAAAATGGAACCAAAATCATAAGGATTGTTCCACTTAAAAGGAAGTTATGGCGAGTTGCGCAATGACCCTGTTGCGCAAAAAAAATAGCGGAAATTAGCCTACCCCATTATTTCTAATAGAGAAAGTTTGAGATAATGGCTGACAAAACCAACTTCAACAAATCAATTCCTCAAGAAAAATTAGGCCCTTTTTTTGTGGAAGAGATCGATCATGAATTTAATTCAATAAAAACTCAAAGTCAATTTTATAACTTTGCAAAAGATCAGAAAGATCAGAACAGAAGATCAGAAGATCAATAAAAATAGAAACTATTCAAAAATACAGCTAATTAGTTTTAAAATTTGATTTCAAAAGAAATGAAAACAAAGGAGAATCAACAGAAATAGAAATGACAGAAAATCAGTTTTTATTTTCGAATTTTTTGCTAAAAAACAAAAATGATGATTAAGTGTGAGCTGATGGTGTCAAGAAGTGATTTTTGTGAATGGCGATGGGTGAGGGCGGGACTTCCGCTTCCGAAAGTCATTGCAGCCGCCTCTTGCGCACGTCCGGACCAATTGAGAGCGAATCGAGTGCACGTCGAGTGGCGATCGGAGGCAAATCAAAAGCAAATCAAAGCAATGTGCCCATCCGAATCACTTTTCCCCAAATTTCATCACATATCGACCATCCATCCACAAAAACAAAACACTTTGCGCTCTGATCCCACATCAAGAGACTCATTCATTTTGAGAAAAACTTTACAGTTTTAAAATTTACAGGTTTAAAATTTACATGTAATTTAAATCCCAACACAAATAAACAGACAAAAGATTTAATTACAAGAATATTTTTTTAATACAACCGACCATCCATCTACTTATCCACAGAAACAAAACACTTTGCGCTCTGATCTGATCGGATACGTTTCCAATATGGTTCCAACATGGTTCCAACATGGTTCCAATATGGTTCCAACATGGTTCCAACATGGTTCCAACATGGTTCCAATATGGATCGGATACGTTTCCAATATGGTTCCAATATGGTTCCAATATGGTTTTTAATACAACCGACCATCCATCTACTTATCCACAGAAACAAAACACTTTGCTCTCTGATCCCACATCGCTCACTGGCAACTCTCTCTATAACGAAACTCTATATAGCGGAAAGATCTATATAACGGAATGAAATTTTAGTCCCGGCCAACGCTAAGCTATTTTAAATTTTAATAAATTATAGAGCGGAATATAACGGAAACTCTCTACAGAATGCGCATTAAATATGGACCATTAAATATTAAATAATAGAAAGCAAGAAAAATCCCTATAGTTATTGTTTTAAATCTTCAATCTTTTACAGATATATTGTTAAACTAATTGTTAAACTAATTGTTAAACTAGTTAAAGTTTATTCCACAAAAAGTTTCATTAGTAGCATCTCTCACTTCCGCTCACTGGCAATTCTTGTGCAAGACAGCCAGAAGAAAGTGTTTTATTCAGGTTTCGCTTTGATTTCTTAGGCGTTCACAGTTGGTAAACTTGTATGTTTTGGGCTGTTAATTGTTAATTGTTAATTAAGCTTCTTGTTCAATTCAATATCAAAGCCTATATTTTCAATAATCTGTTTAAGTTTCTTAGTAAAAATCCTCGCGAAACCCTGGGATCAACTTGGTGGCGGGTACGCCTGCCACATTTGTGGCTTTTAAAAAAGATTTAACAATAAATTGCGTTAATATCCTCTTAGCCAGAGGATAGTTTTGAGTAAACTTAACTAGTCTTCGACTTGCTTGTGCTGGTGGTGGTTGCACTCTAGCCATCCTTTCTCTGACCATCTCTGCCACTCTTGTGCTCCACCTGGTTGCTGGTCTTCCGATGGGCCTCTTCTGGTCTCGTGGTAGCCACTCTGTGATCCGTATCGTTCATCTGTCGTCTGTTCTTCTGGCTACGTGGCCGGCCCATCTGAGTCTTTTTCTCTCGATCACTTCCACTGGATCTCTGAGTGCCGAGAGCTGGCGCATATCCGTTAGGTCTCCCTCTTTAGACTTATCAACTAAATTCAACTAATCCATTTCATTAGTGCTGAGAATTCATTTCATTCATTAGCGCTCATTTTTGCACAATGAAAGCCTCTATTATCGAAATTCGGGCTCATAAACGGCGCTTTTTCGGTGAGTAAACGAATGGACGAGACCGAAGAAGAGAGATGCTTGCTTGAGTGGGTCTCCATTGCAATATGTGTCTTTGCATGAGAGTGAGCGAGAAAAGAGTGTCATTAAAAGGATTATGAATGCCGGGGGAGAGGCCAAAACTGCGGAGAAATTCCCCCTTCACCCCAAAACGTGGGCTCACCGCTCTCCTTCCAAGCTCACTCCATCACATTTCGCTCACAATTCTCTTTCAAAGCTCTTTCTCCCTTTCAAAGCTCTTTCTCCCTTTTACCTCTTTTTACTCTTTTCTACAGGTCAAACTATTATCCTAGTCTAAAATCTATTTTCTATTTTTCTATTTTTCTATTTCACTTAATACAGTTGTTTATCAAAAAGTTTTCTTCTTTTTGAATAATATGCGAAAACCTCTAATTACTCTCGTCTTATACCACCTCATTATGAGGATAAAGGATCTGCAGGGTTTGTGCCTTCCCTCTCTCTCTCAGTTGTTGCTTTTCGTTTTGTGACTTTTCAGCGACAAAAAAAAAGAAGAAGAGCTTGTGTCCGTTTCGTTCTACTTCTTTTTTTGCCAATCAGCGTGCTTGTTAGTAGGGGACTGGCCACAGGCATTGAGTCTGAGTCGGCGCTGAGTCTCCGCATTCATCCAGTCCCTATCCTTTAAACCATCCAGTCCCTATCCTATAAAATGTCCCTTATTTCACTAGATTCTTTGTAATTTGTTAGACAAAAGCATAAGTTTTCATATGCTTTTCTTTAGTCTGATATTCTCATGGTTGAAGTCTGAAGTCTGAAGGCTGAAGTTATCGAAGTTTTTGTTATTGCTTCTTGGCTGTTTAAAAAGATAGCTATGAAATTTACGACTACCGTAAATACTGTAATAGTACCCCACCGCCCTTGTACAGTCTCGTAGTCGCAAAAGCTTTTTTAGTATTTCATTTTTTTCAAAGCGCCCGTACTTTCAAAAAAAGCGTCTTTGTATCAAAAAATAGCTGAATTTCAGCTATTTTTTGATACCTAAGCGCGCATTGTAGCATAAACCAGTGTCGAGAAAAACTCGTTCAAAGCTAGACTACGCAACACTCCGCACCGTCATTATGGGGGTGGGGTCCAATTACAGTATTTACGACTAAGTAACAAATCAAACAGCTGTAAGACAAAAAATCTAGCTTTTTCAAATCAAACTTTTGATCAATTTGAGCTAAAAAAGATGAGATGATGATCTCCAGTCACCCAATCTCAGATTTCAGTCGTCTTTTCACTAGACTTCTAGGATAAGATGATCTAAAGAAGGACTCATATTTCCGTCTTTTTTTTCACTCTTCTCCCGCTTGGGTCGGCATGCAAATGTGATTTTGAGGAGAAGACGAGCTCCTCTTCTCTTCTTTCCTATACCCGGCATACACTCCCCTTTTTTCCCCCTCACTTCTTCATCTTCACACCACTCCACACTATCGAATGAGATCTTGAATCCAAATCCCAGTTTTATTCTCTTCAGAACTTGTATTACCAGATCATCAAGCTAACTTTAATTGCTTTGAACTTTTTGAGAACTATTTTCTCTAATCAGATCTCTCTATAGTGAAAGATAAATGGACAAGTTGCGTGCCTTGTCTCTGTGTAAATGGAAATAGTCCTTTCAGCATCTTTTTTTCTTTCCTTTTTGCCGCATGAGCATTTACTTGAATGACTAAATGGCCTCAATGTTGACAACTTCTTGATTTCTCCCTTTCACTTACGAAAAAGCTTTATTTTTCTTTGAAAACAAAACGTTTTTCTTCTTGATTTTATAGTTTTTATAGAGTTTTAAAATCAAAAATAAGTAATGAAGGAAATAATTTAGAAATTAAATCATTATGCTAAAGATTGGGAGTGGGACAAATGTTACCTTTTTTTGCGCACCCGGACATTTGCGCACCTTGCCCATTAGCGCACCCTTTTTCGCGTTTTAAAAAAGCTCTAAAAAGCTAATATTAACCAATTTCTATTCCAAATGTTGTTTTTCTAGGTAATTTGAGGGCGTAGAATCGAAATTTTGACATAACAGAGCGTGTGGAACCAATTTGAAAGACAAAACGGCTAGATCAAATTACAGAAAATTGTCGATCTTTCTC